GTAGTGTACACAAATAAAATACAAAGAGAAAAAAACCATGTAAACTTGCTAAGACATATCAAGGCTGCAATTTTAGTGATCTCTGGAATAGATCAAATAATCAGTAAAAGAAATATGAAAATCATCAGTATAAATAATGAACTGTCAGTAGTGAAATTATCAGTAATTAGTTTTAAAATGGTCAGTTAATTCAATATAAGTAGTAGTAAAAAATTTCATTTAATGTCAGTAGAAAAACAAAACTTATCAGTAGAAAAAAGAGCTTTACCAGTAGGAAAAAATTTGAATAAATCAAATAATTAAAGAATAAATGAAAAAAGATAACAAAAATTACATTATTGTATTGGTAAACGAGATTTAACCTCTCCTGATCCACTTCTTTTTCTTTTCTCATCGATTAGCATGGTTTTTGGTGGTGGTGGTGGTTTACGATATTTCAAATGAATATCCCAACTCACAATGTGTTTGTATATAAAATTCTTAAAGAAACTGGATAGTTGTATTTCAATGTTTTCCAATGTAAATTATTTTTAGTTTTCATACATCAAATATCAAATGAGTTTTTGAATTGATTGAGGGCTGTCATCCATTTGTTTCTATAGGTTTATTCATAAATCATCTTCAGTAATTTATTGTAAATCACGAGCTAGTGTGCAATATTTTTTGCGAAGAATCATTTGAAAAACAAATGATACCATTTTATTTAGTCTATTGATGTGATGTAATCTATAATTGTAGAGATATCACTGGTTCTGTAGCAAATTTTCTTGTATTAACTGAGGATGAATCTCGTTCAATTAACCAATTCTTGGCAATATTTGAAGACATTGTGAAGACTTTTGATAAAAAATGATGTTCTCGAGACATTCCATCATTTTTTATGATTTTATTGGTTGCCTCTAGAGCCTTGGTTGTACTTGGTGCATATAGTTGTGTATCTTTCAATCAACCATCATTTAATTTAAATCCTTCATTATCAAATCAATTCTTTTGACCCAAGATTTTGATTCCATTTTTTTTTAAAGTTCTTTCATTTCTACTTATTTCATGATCTTCTTCCATCAATTGTTCATCTACTGTATCGCTTTCAAATTGAGAAACTTGTATCAATTCCGTAATTACAACTACATTAAATTTTTTAAACACGAAATATGTTATGTTTATTTGATATGTAATAAATACTGATACATATAGATAGATAGAGACAACGACGAAGAAACAAGTCGAGAAGCTTCTTTGCTTTTGTTTTAGATGATGGACAATAAGAAGAATGACAACAATGTTTCTTCTTCTTCACAAAAATGTATGTAAAAAAAAAAGAAAACAAACGTTGGGCAACTGAAGAGAAAGAAAAAGAAAAACAACAATGATTTACTCTATAAACATTTCAATTTTTGATCTATTCCGTTAATATAATCGACTGTAAATAAAATGAGTTTTCTGCTTTTCAAATTTGTTTACAAACCTAATGAATTAATAACTAACAGTTTAAGTGATTTTACTGATCAATTATTAAATTAGCTGATTTTATAATTATTTGATTTACTGACCATTTCATTTATTATAGAACTCATAAATCATTCCCAAATATAAGTTGAAAGACGAGGACCAATAATATAATCAATCTTGTTAGTTTAATTAAAAATCAAATGTAATATAAAATGGACATAAAAATGTGTTGAAATCCACATAACAAACTTCGTCGATCATTTCCACCTTTTGTATGAAGACCAGGCTTCAAGTTCAAATTGTTGATTATTATTAGAACTATTCAAGAGAAAAAGATATGCGGCAAGATGAGATAGCTAGATAAAGATCAATCTGATGATAGACAGATATATATATATACTAGTGTTGAAGCTGATCATTAGATTGCGTTCAATCGCGGATTGCTCTAGACGAAGCTTGAATCCGAAACAGGGCGCGTTCCAAAGTGAAATTCTAGAGAAATTTAACGGGTGCAGATACAAATGGGATGTACGTGTAAGTTTTTCTTAAACATATCCATATAGATATATATGTTCAGACCCACCTCAGCAACTAGTCGTATCTACCCGTACTCTAGAATCAGCTTGAGTCAGAATTCTTGAAAATCTTGTCTGTAAGTCATATTTTAGAATGAGTGAAATCAGAGCTGCTCGATTGAGTATCCTCGATAATAGCTTATGTGAACTAACTCATACATCATCAGTACAAGCGATATATATAACAATAGAAAAAATCCTTGTTAGTTTTATAGTAAGCTTATCAAGATCCAAATCGTACAATTAATGATTAACCAAAAGCTTGAGTAAGAGTTCTTTTCAGAGAAAAATAGTGTCCAATCGATTATCCGAATCAATGTGTGACAAAGAGGCAGAAAATCAAGAACAGATAACTTTCTTTTTTAGCATCCTTTGTGTACAATATCGAAATTACTTAATCTCCGCTTGAATCTTATAACCATTGAGCATAAAATTTTTCAATAATGGTGTTTCTTCTTTGTTTCAATGTAGGAAGTGTTCAGAGATCTAAATGGCATTTTTTTAAAGATAAAATATTAATCTAAAATGTGCCATATTATGGACAATATATTAAACTTCGAGATGTGGTGCTCTTTACGATATATTCTGAGTCTGTGGTTCCAATTTAGTTCTCATGGTATGTATTAGGTCTTCTCCAAAAAGTGAAAAATTATTGTTTTTTCAATTTATTTCGAACTACTACGATTCCTTCTTGGAACTGAAACCATAAAAAATCTTGAAATTTATTCATCTCAATTCAGGCCGCTTTCGATCAATTTGTTTCGATGATGCTCGCTATCAATCATCGATCGATTCCAGCACGTGTTATCGAACAATGACTAATCGATAAATGATCAAGAAAAAATTCATACTAAACTATATAAGTTCAGCATGATTAACTGAGTCATTTATGTCTAATTATTTGCGCAAAACGTAATGGACAACAATATGTTTATTTAAAGTAACATATTACATTTAAATGTCAGACTCTGTAACTTTCTGAAAAAATGTATTTTGTGATTATTTTTTTCGCTAACAAGATAGAATAATTAGTCCAATTATATAGACATACAGTTCATTTAAATCTACTTTAGTTGCATCTTAAATAAAAATTTACTTGCTGAATATTGGTAAAACATTTCGAGATGACAACATCGTCAATTTTAAGATAACAAATTTTTATTGTCTAAAATCATTATTATAGTCTGATCATTGCGCGTTTTATCAAGAACTTTTTATCATGATTTTATAAAGTATGGTTCGACCTTACGAATCACATTTAACAAGTCAAAAAGTTCGTTCTATCCATAGCAGAGTTGAAATGTAAATCAATTAGATTCTTTTTTGCAAAAATTGATCAAATAAAAGAAAATATGTACAAGCTATTTAATGGCTACAGCAAGAAGCTATCAATTCATACTATCAGAATTCTTATAGTTAATTTTTGTATCCTATGAAATTAATCCAAACTTAATGTATGTTTTCATATTTCGAAGATACCACTCATATAGTCAACGTAACTAGTACTTTATGTCAAATCCAAATTTTCAACTAAAACACTTTTTTAAGCATATATCTAATAGACAAATATGGAATTTCTTCCAAAAAAAAAGTGATTGAAACATTTTCCTCGGCAACTTGTATTGGAGTTTTAAATAAATAAGCATAATACATTTTTATAAAGAATGAAAATACAATTGGTCCCAAAAATATTCTACTCGATTTATTTTCAATTATTTTCCGCTTTCGTAAACTTTAATAAGAATTCTAAGAGTGACTTGAGTAGAAAATTTTATTTCGCACAAGGACTATGTCAAAATTAGAAATGATTACTATTTTCCTTCCTAGGACAAGATCTTTAAAAAAAACTCCAAAAACAAATTTTATAGTTTTGCAGGGTTCGCAAATCAGCTTTTCTTTGAATTAATAAAATTATCTAGTAAATTATTCTCTTGTAAATGCAATATTCTTCAACTCTGTACAATGTTTTCTGATTAAGATATATTAAGTTTACCAAAGGCATAAAAACGGTCATTCTATAAGAAATCAAAGAAAAAAACGGCTTGTGTACCTTCCGTAAGATTGATATATTTTGATCAAAAAGCTTCTTAAAAAGTTTCAAGATGTTTCAGTTGAAAAAGAATCACTTATTCTATCATCATGGATGAATCAAGTAAAATTCTATTCGTATATGCCAGAAATGAAAACTACTGAATTTGTGGTTTCTCAGAAATTCTATGCTTGAGAAATTAGCAATCAAATTACTATTTGAACTCTTATTAACATTTACGGCAGCCGAAAATAATTGAAAATACATCTGACCGAATCATTTTGAGAGTCATTGAATATCCTTATAAGATTCGACAACAATCTTTTTCTCTTATCCTTATCAGTAGTTGTCGCTGTTGGACGATACGTCTAAATATGTCAGTATAAGATTTAATAAATCAAAAAAAAAATATTTAAAAATGAATTATAACATTGAATTGTTCTAAACATCATTATATTATGAGTACAGATATTAATGGATTTAGTTTTGATTAAACTAGAATAAGCGATGACTCATCAGTGTCAAAATATCATGAAAAAAATTGAGATTAGGAAGAAAATATTCCATTTACAATACAAAGAGTACTATTCAATCGAAATATTTACTTTAGTCTATAAACCTTTGTTTGTTGATTACAATTATAAATAAACAAACGACCTCTTTTTTTTGCTTCATATTATTCATACATAACTATGTAGTAAAAAGTATTATAACGTTCTTTGATTACCATAGTTTAGATTGTAAATATTATTCATGGATGTAAGTGTTGATTCATCGCTATCGTCATCAACAAATACAACAACTTCGTCTACTGCTACACCAGCATCATCATTTGTTAAATTATTTTTAAATGAAATCAATAATCAAGATGTTCATGGTTTACTTAATGTTCAACATTCATTGTAAATAATAATTCAACTATTTCTTTGTTTTTGTATAAAATTAATGTATCTTTTAGACTTGAACAATTAGATAAAACAAATGAAAAATTAGACGGAGTTAATAAATTATCAACAAAACGTTATTTAGATGCAACACGAGATTTTTCAAGTCATACACAAATGTTAACAACAATGAAAAATGATCTTAATTTAATATTTAAAAGAATAAAGTAATATAAATAAAAAAAAAAAGAAAATTTTCAAAATTTTATATTCGATATTTATTATTTTAGATTATTAAAAATACGATTAAATAAAAAATATCCTGAAGCTTATAAAGCAGGTAATAGAAAAAGACTTGATACAATGAAAATCAAGGCAACAAAAAAAAAATACGTTTTATTTTGTTAGCTATTCAAATGAATGCAACACAAAATGATTCTCTTGATGAAGATGATGGTGATCTAAATGACTTGACGACATCGACGACGGTAAATTCGATTTGCTGCTTTCTTTTTCTATTTTGCATGCAAAAAAAAAAAAGAAAAACATCTGTTGCTCGTTATTTTGATTTATATCTTTTCATTTCATTAGAAACATATTGCGCTTATCAAATCGAAAACGATTGATTGCTCACAATTTTCAGTATCAATGCATGAAAGCTATAGTTCGACTCAGCTTGCAAATAATAATAATAATAATCCTAGCGAACAAACAGCAAATTCATTTGGTGCTGTACGTCGTTTTGTATTTGATAAATCATCAGGTGGACAAAATTTTTCAACATTATTTAAAAATGCTCGTGATGAATTAAGAAAAATTAATGATGGTTTGCTTGGTGGTCAAATTCAAAAACCATCAAAAGATGATGAACAATGATCTTTATGCTTTTATATTTGATTTTTTTTTTTTTTTTGATTGTCAGATTTATGTTAATAAAACCTTCTTCTTATATTTTAGATTGTATCTAATTAAATTAATTTCATTTTTTTTTTCGTTTAAAATCAATTAATTCTTTTGGTGAGTATAATTTATTTAGATATTTAAATTTTAAAATCAAATTTTTCTTAGAAAATGAAAGTTAATCATTATAACATAGAACTATATTTTAATGATTTCGATTAAACTTTAGTTTTTGTATTAAGATCTATAATAGATCTTGACAAGATCAGTCATTCTTGGTCCTAATCACAGGATCGAGATCATCTTGTCTACATCTATATTCATTATATCTCTAACAAAAATTATTCGAAATTATGAAACTTTAGATTGATTCATGTTTTAGTATTCGTAGATAATAGAAAGTTATCTATAAAGGTGAAGACTACTTACTCATTCGTATAGTCTACATAATTTAGTTATTTTTGATCTACTCGATCAAAGTTTATCTAATCATGTGATTATAGTGAAAAGAACCCATGAAATTGTGCGTTTCTAGATTCGATACAATATCCCATAGGATCACATTCGAATTTGATATGGATACGACAGTTTCTATCAAATGAAAAAAAACTACTTAGACAAATACTATATAGTTCAAACTCAAAAGTTCATAAGCAATCAGTTCAGTCTAACGAAATATGCTTGGTCACGTAGAAGGTTAATAAATTAAATTGAAACTCGAGCATATATCTACAGCGACATTCTATAATAATGAAAAAAAAAGAAACACCAATCATCATCATATCTGAAAAAGATTTGGATTGCAGTGTTAAATATGTGCATACACACAACAAAAAAAACAAAATTTAACAGATGTTTATGTTTGCAAAACTGTATTTCTCTTCAGAATTATTCCTATTGTCTATGAATGATATTTTTTTAAGTATTGAAAAAATTCGAAAAATAAACATCTAATATAAATTGTTTTTTTTTTAGTAAATACAAAATTCTCCATGGCTACTGCTTCTAATATTGATGATCTTCTTCAATGTCCAATTTGTTTGGAAATTTTTCATGATCCTAAAGTTCTCGATTGTCAACATACATTTTGCGCCAATTGTTTAAAAGTACATTTATCTTCATCATCAAATATATTACGTACACCAAATGCAATTGATTGTAAATATGTTCATTTTTTTTTTAATGTGTATATTACTATCTATTAAAATAGGTCCAGTATGTCGTCGACGATCAAATCTAATTAATAATTCCGTTGATAGTCTACCAGGAAATTATATTGTACGTGATATAATTGAACGTAAATATGGTACAGCAACACCTGAACGTCCGGCTGGTTATAATCAACAAATTCAAGATCGTATTAAAAAATTACAAAAAGCAGATGAAGAAGAAAAAGATGACACTAATTATTCGGATTATATAAAACCAGCAGCTGCTGCTCTTATTGGTGTAGTTGGTGGTTTACTTTTAGCTAAAGGTGTAAAAAAATTACGTGACCACAGTAAAAAACGAAATGGACATTGAAGAAAAATGATTATACATTAATTCAAGTTTCCTTTTCTTTTTTTTTAATTCTTTTTCTTGATAAAAATCAAATTCATTGAATATATGAAATATGAAAGAAAAAAATATTAATGCTTTGTGTAAATAACAATCAAAAGCCGTGGTACTTTTGTTATAAATTATATGTTCTTACCCTTCTGTCTTTAGTTTTTCTATTGTTTAAGCATTTTCTTGTTTCTGGATCTTGATAAATTAAAAAAAAACGGTTTTCATTGATTCTAAAGCCTTCGCTGAAATTCATTTGTAAATGCTTTTGAATAATTTAATTTTTGGGTTTTGCGCAGATAAAAATTCTAGATGTAGACAATGATGGGCAATACAGTATTTATTTCAAAATTAGAAATAAACATTTATATCAAGTTGTATAGAAAAATCAAAAGTTTGAGAAAATTTTTATTATATTCGAAAAATTACCCAATTACTTTTAAATTGATCATACACTTTAAGGTCTCACTCAGAATCATCGGTATCTAATATTATATAAGCATAACACTGTAACAAAAACCTCATGGTTGGTAGCATTTTTAGTTTGTGTAATTGAGCAAGAATTTCACTATTACAAATGTGTGATGGCAATTGCATTGAGTTCAAATCTGATTGTTTGACATCGCCTTTACTTACTTAACGTCAAATCTTTCTGAAAATCCCTATTTAGTTTTTGTTAATTTTCCGATATTTCTGACTATGGTTAATTTAAACTATAGTAATCCGTATTTACACTACATACTTTCAAAAAAGAATCATAAAATATTAACCGTAAACATTTATAGTTTTTAGTACTTTTTAGAATTTGTAAGAATAAAAAACTTCTTTTACTACTGAAAAGCTAAATCAAAACTTAATAAAATTTGTTTTAGATATGTTTCATATGGAGGAGGGCTTCAGTAAAAGCAATCATAAATTAATGAATCATTTTATGTAAAAGCCTTACGTGACCAGAAAAACTCGTTTTCATAGTATACGTAGAGTGTGATGAGCTACATCGGATGGCGTTTGAACTAATTTTCTAGCTCTCGAAGTTTTCGAGATAATTGAAAAAAATGTGTCAAAAATGTAACAGTGTTATGTTTGGACAGACTATAGAGCCTAGTCTTTCAAATGGCATGCAGTCGTTCTTTGAACAATATTTTGTGCAAATATTATAGCATCCTAAGTTTTCAAAAGTGACTTAGGTCATCAATTTCCATCATTTTTCTGTAGTTTTCCAGTTGATAGTTTGAAACGCGTCGTAACATTTGAATAAAATATGGTACTCAAGGCATCGACTTGTCATTGGGAAGAAAAATTGAAATATGTACAAACTTTATAAAGGGCAAAATGAAAAAATTTGTGTGTTATGATTAGAATGGAATTTTCTTTAGAAGGATAATATCAGACTTCATAGATCGAAATAGAGCAGAGAAAAAACAAAGGGACACACGTTTATACCTCGATATATATGCATTGATGCCTGAAATCATCGTTGTTATAAGAAGTAATAATGAATGAAATGAGAAAACATTTTTATTCTACCGCCTTTTTAAAAGCTATTCCGTTTCTCTATACATTGGTGAGACAATAATAATGTTTTCTCACTTTAGTCGAACTTCATTTTCGAAATCATACACTTATCTTTATAGTGGATCATATAGCAAAGAAAATTTCAAGAATACACGTACATATAACCTCGTTTTACATCAGTGCATATATATATATAACAACGTCGATATTGATCGAATATATATTGACACAAATCCAAGTAGAACAGGAATGATATGTTGAAAAAGAGAATATATGAAAGAGGTGACGAATACCGTGACATATCAGAAAAATTATTTTTTCATATGCTCATTTATTTTTCTTTGTTTCAATACTCATCTAACACATACACAGGCTACCACCATTTTATTTCTTCACGATCGTTAGATAGACAAAAGCTAAACGTTGGCTTGGTTTAGTGCACAAGAAATATATAAAGATAAATGGCTATTGATCAGATTAAACTCATAATTAATTCTTCATAGAACCATTCATTTTCAATATTTCATTTTATTTCACGCTGACTTCATCGTAGTAAAATTAGCAGTCGACGTCATTATCAAGCTTTAACACTGTCAGATTCGAAACAAGTGAAACACAATACCTCATCCATCTGGTGTACTAATTACTTGGACATTTATACGAAAATTATTGGAACGCCTGATGCGTTACTGCAACTTAGACATTGTAAGATTAACGTTTGTCTCCTATGGTGACGATAATGTAGTACTGTTCAGCAAAGATGAAGCACTGTCTAATTCTATTTCAAGAGTTAGCACTGCTATATCAAATGAGTGTCATATTCACTCGAATATCATTTTAGGCCAATGAATTCTAAGCACATATCTACAAATTTATACAAGGAAGTTATTTAAATGATTTTCATACTAATTTTTTTTATTAAGAAATGTTTCTATTTAGAAGTTTAATGGTCGCAATCGATTGGTGGAACTACTTCTCATTTGCGATCATAAGTCAAATAAAATTTTAAACTATTATTAAAACTTTAAACTTCAGTCAACATGAAAGTTAAGAATTAAACTATTTGTTTTTTAAAACTACAAAAACTTGATTAATTTAATTTTTAAGTTTTAATTGATATATACTCATATTTAACAATTTCCACTTTCAAGTTCGGATCGTATAAAGTCCAGGAAGTTGTAGAGTCCGCTAGAATATCTTGCATAAATCTAACTGAATGTAAAAAAAATTTAGAAATGTCGCATGTAGTCTGTTTGAAGCTAAGTGAGTGCGATCTGAAACTGTCACTTCTCATTTTGGAAGATTAATGTAAGAACACTGTAGCAAAACAAAATTAGTTTCATATTTCAAGCGATTTGATTCAGAAAGCTTTATTAGCTCTCGATTATTTATGAATTTTGCTACTTCACCAAAAAGATGATTTTATAAATGAGATATAGTGTCGAATAAATTGTTTTAAAAAATGCCAATGAAATATTGTTGCATTTTAAACTAAGTCACTGAAATAGGTTGATCGAGTGAAATTTTTTTATAAAACTTTTTCTGAAACATAGCAAGATTATAGATTTAGTTTAAGTACTATGAATCTTAATCTTAATCAGGAACGCTTTTAGGAAAGTGATTTACTTAATTCTCATATTGAAAAACGAACCCTAATACAGCTTGAGCAAGGGACGAAAAATAATGAAAGTTTTCATGAAGATTAAAGGAAGATTTTGAATTGTTTTTCTCATGTTCCACAAATATGATTCAATGTCCATTCAAAGTGTGACCTCGGCGGACGCTTGTCTGAAGATAACTCGAATATCAACACCTAAATCTTGTCCCGTTTACATTTTTTTCACAGTTTATGTTGTTGAATAATTATATTTTTAGGTTTGAATTAGTTTCTTTTCCATAGATTGTTGATCTTATGTTATTATAGAAACTAAATAGAGTTCCACTACAAAAACAAGCTTATGACATTCATATTGGTAATTTGGTCTAAAGAACTCTAAATATAAGACTTAATTTAGAAGAAGAAGAGCACTACATAATTTAGCGCATTCTACTGATAAGAGCTGAATTCATTGAAACTCTGCAAGCATATATCAAGCAAACTCTGCATCTTCCTAAACGAAAATACAGAAATTACATAGAAAACAAGAGCGAACTCTACAAATTTTAATTCTTGAAACAAAATGGCTTTAATTCAAAATCGAAAATTTGACACTTTCAATCGCTTTTAATCTAAAAAATTCAAATTAATTAAAAAATGAAGTGAAATATTATTTAATAAACTTTGCATTATCGACTGTATGTTCGCCAATGAGAGGATACCGATTCTTTTATCGCCATAGCTATAAAGTTTTAGCATAAATTTGGACCATCACTAATCGTGTTCAGGTAGGCATTTGTTGTTTTAAAACAATAAAAACATTTTTACTGTTTTGATCTCGAACCCGATATATTAGCATTTCGAACTGTCTTATTCATGCATCCATGCATAATAATGATAACAGTAAAATTTTCAACATAAAATATTTTAAATGTTTTTGAATTCTATACTTTGTTTATCTTGTATGCATTTTTTTCAGCTGATGAAATTGATTATACAAGTGATGAAACATCAAATGATAAAGATGATATTCAAAATAAGTATTTTACTTTTGGAATATATTTTAATTTTAATTCTTAGATGTCAATACAAATAAATCATCGATGAAATATGAAGTTAAAGGCTTTAATATTATTTATTTCGAAGTTCAACTTGAAGATTGTTTTTTGTTATTTATAGGTATTGATGAAGAAATGAAAATAAGACCAAATATAGAGAAAAAACTGAAGCAAATGGATGAAAATGGAAGTGAAGTTGATTTTGATAATGATAATGATGATGAAGATATTCTTGATTTATGTTTGAGATTAGAAATATTTTCAAATGTGAAGAACATGTTGCTTTTATCGTACAGATGAAAATGATGAGAAAAATGGTACAGTAACAGCTCATGATTTGTCGAATGTCGGTAATTACTTCAAAACGATGTAGTTAGTCAAGTTATGAATTAAAATTAAATTGATGAAAAAAAGCGATAATTTTAGACATGGAATCAAGTTCAAATGATGATAATAAACTTGATGCGTTAGATGATCTTAAGAAAAAAATCAATTGAATCGATTTCTGTAAATAGAATAAAATTTTCTTTTCGATTCGAAATTTAATGTCTTTTTATATGACGTTCTATTTATATTCAATCGATTCTATCTGAATAAATAAAAATTGGTAAATATCGTTTTATAGCACTGTATATGTTTGCCGAAGTCAATTGAATACGAAAATTTCTCGGAAGTTAAGACAAACGATCATATTGATCAGAGTATAAAAAAGCTTTGACAAAAGCTTTTTAATTTGTATCGTATTGGACATGTGCGTTCAAGAAAGCAGCAAAATGACTAAGAAGAAACAACTTTATATCGGCTATGTTGTTTTTCACGAAGAAAACTCGTCAAATGATAAATCGATTTTGAAATAAGTCTTACTTAATAAGATCAGTTCCGTTGATACTTGAGAAAATTTGAAAACATTCATGCTTATGAGTATTTCTTCTTTTTTTATGGTCATTCGAGTGGATTTTTTATAGGATCGTACGATCTAACTTAGATGATATTCAGGATCAACTTTCGAATTCAACTATTGTACAAATAAAGTTCTCAATCAGATTAGTAGAATGTGAAAAGATAAGAGTTTCCTAGTATTTCCTATCTTAAAATAGTGGATATTGAAAATTTTTCTATGAGAAAAAAACAAATGTTTGTGGTGTATTCCGGAAAGAAGATACTACAAAGTCAGATTGTTTCAAAACGAACTAATACTACTAAGAACTTTGTTTGTTTAATGTATGAACTGAAAAGTCGATTCTAAAGATGAATTGAATGCAGCTCTGGCTCATGTTGACAAAATTAGTAAAACGACTATCATTTAACAAATACCTATGAACACAAAATCTTTAAATATTTTAATCTGATTATGATTTATCTAATGAGATAAAACTCATTCTAGCACGAATATATTCCTGAATAAGATGCTTCTGTGAGAATAGTTAGATAACAATTGAGATCATTTGAATTTTATTCGTTTTCAATTAAAAGAGCATCAGATATTACCGAAAAATTGCTCACAGTAAGAGTATGAAACAAAAGACATACAGACATTATCTAAAAGACTTAGAGTAAATTAAGTTATTTCAATAGAGACAAAAAACAAAACGACATTTATATTTAAGATTTAACATAACAACAATTTAATCCTTATTACGATATTATAAAAATTTCAAATATTTATTGGATTAAAATCTTTTAGCTTCAATGATATTTATATTTTTCTTTTCAATCAACTAAAAGACTTAACGTAATAATTTATTTAAATGATTTTAATTTTAGAAAAAAATCATAAGAAAGCAAAAGTAGAAAATAATACGAGCAATTAAATCTAAAGTTATGTGTTCATCAAGTTCATCATCACGTCCTATGTTTGTTTTTTCTTTTATGTCCTGATTTAAATATTTATCATGATATATTTCAGTGAAACAATTACTGAAAATAAAATCCGTAATTTACTTTTACAAAAACACTATATGACTTTTACTGTATTAATTCAAGACTTCTTACCTAAAACAGAACATTTACGAATAAAAGAAATTAAAGAAGATGTTGTTCAAAAAATGAGCAACAATTCTAAAACGTATCAATATCGAAGAAAAAATTATCGATAGTAAAAAACCATATTAAACTTAAATTTGAATAAATTTACAATCAATATGAAAGAACAATATTGACATCAGAAAAAATGAAATAAAATTATATTTAACGTCAGAGATAATAAGTTCTTTTAGTCTTTGTAGCACAACATTCAATAAAACCAACAGTATCGATTTTTTCTGCCATAGCTCGACCTTTTTTAAGATCGAATAGGTTCTTATTTCATTCTCATTAATTTTCTCGTCGTTGCTTCGCCATTTCATAATTTTTTTGTTTATTACCTGTAAAAGTTGTTTATTAAGTTTGATACTGTCTAGTCTTCATAAAAGAAAATCTCGTAGAAGATTTTAAAAACTCATTAATGAAATATCATAGTAAATGAAAGAAATCTTTGAATTAGATTCGAGTAAAACTGTATTCACAAATAATTGAGAAAGAATATTTTTATTTTTTATTTTTGTTTTAATACAAAGTACGAGATTGATACTAGACAAAAAAAACCAATATTATTCCACTGCGTTTATTTAAGTCGAATATGTAGATTTTAGAAACGAAATTACTAGACTTAATTTGACATAGGGATTATATACAATATGCAATAGCTATTTCAAACTTTAAAGATAGTACAATAAGCAATATTAGTATTGAAGTTTAGTCTAATCTAATCTACATCCCAGTCGCATCCATACCCACACCCAACTTTGCATCATGTAACGATCAGTCAATTTTGATAGTTAAAAATCGATGCCAATGTCTTTTTTCTCTAATCATAAAAGTTCATTAAATAGTGATAAGAGCGACTTTCTTTGAGGAACAAATTCTAGAAAACTAATTCAAAATTACTAGAAACTAAACTTTTCTGATAATGACCAATTACAATCAATGTTAGTATGAAGAATCACGGGCAACGAATAAAAATGATGGAATATCAATATGAATTATTGAAAATAAATTAAAATATACGTGTCAAAAAAAACCTATACTAAGATTTTTATTGATCGGTTTCGGTTCAAAAGCTTGTAAATTAACTTAGGATTGATGATGTTATACTATAAATATTTTTTATATTTGTGGATGTTGGTTCGATCATTATCACTGGACTGCTTTCAATATATTCAAAACTCAAGAGTCTAGTAGAGTATTAGCAGCATCACTAGATCGTAGATGATTATTAACTCATGGATTATAATCGATTCGAAAGCTTGATCAATTCTGTTTGATTATAATCGATATTTCGTGATTTTCGACAAGAAAAAATCGTAAACTACTGATGACAATTGATCACTTCGAAAAATTAATTCTAATGATAATCTTTCATTTAATCTCCAAATATTAGAATTATTAGGTTTTCACCAACTAACATTATTTCAAATCGATGAAAATCATTGATATAGTGACTCTTAGTCTTATTTCTTTTCACATTGAATACTATCAGCAATGAATATACAGTATCTAGTCGATCGTATTCAATGATTATAAAAAAAAAACAAAGCATATTTGTTATAGCGCACATTTTTCTAATCAGTCAATTGCTTTCGTATCTTTTTATCGATTAAGCTGCATGAGCAACATGAGACAGAATAAGCAAAACTATGGTAGCATTTTTACGTAGCAAACGAAATATTGCAAATAAATGTGATACGAAGGTAATTTTGAATACGGATGAATGAATACAGACAAAAGTTATGTTACGAGGTGCAGAATAGCAATACAATACTTTAATCTTAATCATAGAACAATATCGATATATATTACATATTTATAATGGTGGCGGATAAATAAAGGTTTCGAAAGAATACAACAAACAAATGTAAGTCTTCAATAACTGTAGTCTCTTCGAAATGTTTTTTGATCATGAGTGTCGAACAAATTGTTGAGTTGTTCAATGAAGCTACCATCAATGTATAAACTTATTTTCGCATTATCATAATTGTTTTCCTTGTAGGAAAAATTTTCAAAATTGTTAACGAAAGAAACAGCAAAGATTAGATACTGTAAAGACGTTCGCCTCACAGAATATCTAAAATAACGACTATCTATTCTGTTCCTGAATATTGCTAGAGAAATACAACTGTTCAATATTATATTTTTTTTATCATTCAAAAAGATCTGTTATGCTGAAAATAAAATATGATGTTGCATAAAAAAGAAGTGCTGCAGAGTAATTTTGTAGATCGGATTCTCTTTAAATGAGTATTTGAAGAAGAATGTTCCAAGCATAATATATTCAGAGTGAATAGTTTTAACAGCGCATTAGCTGGTTTTGATCAATTTATTTTACGTATTAAAGCTTCTTAGAAATTATTTGAGAACATGAGTACAAAAAGTCAAGGTAGCAAGTAGTCAGAAATGCAAATATTTCGATAGTGGCTAGTGCTCAAGGAGTGTTTACCCTATTTTTGGTCGACACAAACAGTTGTAAGCAACAAGTATTTTGATTTTCAAGTTTTCTACAATATTGATCAGATGGTAGGCAATTATTTAAGAAGATCCACCGCTACACACCCATGTCGATCTTTTTTTTTCTAGATAAGGTCCCAAAATGTTGCTGTATCTAGAATTGTTCATCGGAAATTTTCGGTCACTGTGAACAAATACGATCATTCAGCATCTTGATTTTTGTACCATTGGAGAACACTGTGAGCATTGTAGGATGCAATATGTGAGTGTATACGAAAAACCAAAAGCTGTTTGTATTTAGAAAGAGCATTAGCCATGAAAGAACTGTAGTGTCCAGATTCCGTGTAAATTTTCTCTCTCGGTCCACAATTACGTTAGACTAGCAATTTTAAGTTTTCTATCATTCGACGGGTGTTGATGTGGGTAAATAGGTATGAGTGTGAGTCTACAGCTCAGTCACATTCACACCCAAAAATTATATTAATATTTGAGATAATTCTTGTTTCCAAAGTCATTTGGGCTCAAACTTTCACATTATCTACTACATGAGTACCACTATACATAATGAAAATCTCAGCTCGTTTCAGTTTATACTGACCGTAACGGTGATTTTTTTCTGATAGGATGTCTCTTATGACTGTCATAGTAAAAACGTTCGGTTTACTCAGAAACAAACTAGAAGCACAAACTTTTTCTCTAGAGTAGACATAATTCCTCAGGGTCTAATCGATGTGCAAAGTCCCCACTCAAAAGTGAATAAGCATCTGAGAATGATCCCTTGTTACTTGCCTAATATTTTTTCCAAGAGAGCACCAGAAATTCTGACGTTTTTAAATTTTTTTGTCCACAAAAGAGATAAGATCTAAGAAAACTGACACCATAGCAGTTGTATACTATTAAGGTACTTTCATTGGTAATGTTTCCAGACCGAAGAAAAATCCATGATTTTCGAGCAGGTCCTTTGACTATAGAATTATGAAAAATGAAAATCTTCTTTTTAAACTATACAATAAAA